TCTCAAAGGTAGAAAACTATAAAACTTTAGTTTGAGGAGAGAGGACCAGGGCACCTGATTCAGTAAGGATCACACAGGAAATTTGTTCTTTGGGATGCATTTCACAGTGTTCAGCATTTAAGACATTCAGAGATCACTGTAGGCATGATCTCAATTACTACTCAAATGTTAACAGACTTTGGTGCCATCCATGTGGTATTGGTATTATGGACTTGCAGAATGCAAGAGTTGTGGGAGCATGGAGGTTTCCATAAAGATTTTAGAAGAAGGCCTGGGAGGCAAGGTATTATACCCCTGAAAGAGCAGAATATGAAGCTAAAAATAATGCTGAGATCACAGGAACTTAGAGATGACAGAAACAAGGAACATCTGCTAGCTAAAGTTGCAGGCAGTGAATGCATTCACCCCAAGATAAGAGGCCATGAGGACTTCAAATGGCAATACCATAGGGTTGGGGCCACATAAGGCTTTGCAGCTCGTATTTCACCACAAATTGCCTCAGGTGCTATATGTGGAACCACAGAGTTTAATGTTTGTCCTGCTTTGTTTCAATATTACTTTGGTCCTACTTTCCCATTCTTTCTATCCATCTATTTTTCCCATTTGGAATTGGGGTGTTTATCTTGTGCCTTTATAAGCTCACAGTGTTTTACTTTCTTTTTGAGAATTACTGAGATTCACTACTAAAAGTTTGCTTGAGTGTCAGGAGACTTTGGACTTTCAGCAATGCTGGAATTATTAAGATTATGGTACCTCTTACAGGCATAAAGAGATGAGAATGAATCCTTTGGGGGTCAGAGACAGAATGTTATTGTTTAGCCTAGAATGCTCCTCAAAAGACTCACATACTCAGAGGCTGGACTTCTGGAAAGTGATTGGGTCATGGCAGCAGTGCAAGTTACTTGTTATTAGGAAGTGAGTCTCAGTGGATCTAACTTGGAAGAAATGAAATACCTCCTGTGTCCCTCCCTTCAATCTCTGCTTTCAGACTGTAGTTGCCTTCGAGCCCACTGAAAACAGACTGAAACTGTGACTCAAAATAAAACTCTCCTTTAAATTATGCTTATTGGGTGTTTGCTCTCAGCAACAAAAAAGTGACTAAGACAAAGAAATTTCAAATAAATAACCTAATGGTACACCTCAAGGTCTTAGAAAATGAAGAGAAATCTGGATTTTAAAACTGTAGAAGAAAAACTATTATAGAAGTCAGAGTTGAAATTATTGAAATTGAGACAAAAATATAAAGGTTAATGAATAAATGACTCAATTCTTTGTAATACCTTTAGCCAAACTGGCCAAAGAAAGAAGGAAAGGACTCATATAAATTCAATTAGAATTGAAAAAGATGAAATCACTATGAATACCACCTCAAACAACAATCAACATGGTTGTTAAAAATTGTTTCTAAGGTTTTATTTCAATAAATGGATAAATTCTTAGAGACATATGAATTACCACAACAGAACCAAGAAGATGTAAAAACTCTGAATAGACCAAAAATATTCAATGAAATTGAAGCAGTAATAATATCAGAAACAGATTCATCACGGAATTTTAGCAGAACTTTCAGGGAAAAAATTATATCAAGTATTCCTCAAAGCATTTATTAAATTGTGAGAAAGGAACACTGAAAAATTCACTAAGTGAAGCAAGTATTACTCTGACACAAAAACGACCAAAAACTAAATATGTACAGATAACTGTAGGCTAATTCCTTTATGAACATGGATGAAAAAGTCCTCAACAATGTAATTGCAAAGAGAATATAACAAATCATTAAAAATATCATGAGAGTTAGTTGCATCCCAAGAGTTCGAGAATGGCTCAACATATGCAAACAATAATTAAAATATACCACATAAACAGTAAGTATAAAATTTATATGATGATTTCAGAAAAACTTAGAACAAACCTTCAATTTTGCCCAAAATTAATTTATGATAAGATCATTGAAGAAATTACCTCAAACTAGGAAGTTATTTATGACGATCTCATGCTAACAGTATACTACCCATAAAAAACTGAAAGCACTTTCTATAAAATGAGAAACAAGGTAAAAATGTCTACTCTCAACAGTCTTGTTCAATATAGGAAAGAGAAAGAAATAAAAGGGATATGAATAAGTAAAGAAAAAGTGAAATTGCATTCATTTACAAATTATTTGCTCATTACATGACCCAAAACATTCAGAAGACACTTGAAACTGTTAAAATCAGCAAAGTAGTAGGATACAAAATTGATACATAAAAATCAAAAGTATTCCAGTAAAAAATCAATGAATTCACTGAAAATGAAGTCAGGAAAATTTGTGATTGTACAGAAACTTAGAAGTATAGAAATTAATTAAGGAAGCTAAAGATCTCTGTTAAAAGTAATAATACTCCCTTTAAAAAGAGAGTGCTAGAAAATGGAAAAACATCCTTTTTTTCCTGGATAGGAAGACCAATATTGTCAAAGTGGCAATAATTTCAAAAATGACATAGATTTAATGCAAACACAAAGAAAATCCTTACTGTAATTTTTACAGAACTCAGGAAAAAATTCTCAAATTTAGATGGAACTACAAGATACGCAGAATAATCAAAAAAATCTTGAGCAAAAGGTGCAAATAAGAGGAATTACTATCCTTTATTTCAAGTTATAGTACAAAGGTACAATAATAATAATAACATATTGGCACTGGCAAAGAACAGACTTCTTAATGGAATGGAAATGGAAGATGCAGAAGCAACCCCACACACATTCAGTCATTTTATTTTGGACGAAAGGGGGAACATCATTATTCTGGAGAAAAGATAGCCTCTGTAACAACTGGTGCTGGGAAAACCAGTAATCCATGTGAAAAAATGGATAGAGGTTCATATGTCTTACTTTGTAATAAAGTAAAACGGAATAAAAAACCTAGATACAAAATCAGAAACATTTAATCTTCTGGAAAATAAAATAGGTAAAATTCTTGAAGATATAAGCATTAACAAGAGTTTCTGAACATAATCCAAAAAAAACAGAAAAGAAAATCAAGAATGAAAAATGGGATTATAACATATTAAAAAGTTTCTGTATATACAAAGCAAGAAACAATAAAGTGAAGAGAAAACCTACAGAGTGGTAAAAAAAAAAATTATCCAGTTATTCTGGCAAAAAGAACTAATGTCCAGAATGTATAAAGAGCTCAAAAACGATCACCTCAAAATAAAATACAAATACAATGAAAAATGAACAACTGAAATGAACAGACACTTCTGAAATGAAGTACAAAAGGCCAATAACTATATGAAAATTGCTCATCAGTTTTGACTACAAGAGAAATGCAAAACAAAATAACACTGAGAGTCCATCTTACCCTAACAGAAATTGCTATCTTCAAGAACTCAAAAAACCACAAATGCTTGAGAGGTTATACAGAAAAAGAAAAATTTATACATTCTTGATAGCAATGTAAACTAGTATAACTGTGGAAATCAGATTCCTTAGGAAACCAAAAACAGAAATTTCATTTTATCCATCTCTCCCTTCTCTGGGTACTGTCTCAAGAGTTTTGAAGGCTTTGTATTTTAGTGATACATGAGCACTCATATTTATAGCATTATAGTCCACATTAGCTGAATTATACAAGTAGCCTGTATGATATACATCAACAGATAAATGAATATGTGTATGTAATATTTTACATATTATATATATATATATATATGAATGGATTTTGATATCCTAAATTTAAACAAAATAAATTATATCCAGAAGAATAAATATCTGTAATTTCTCTATAGAAACTCAAATTGTTAGTAATTAAAAGTCCCAAGTAAGAAAGATGGTAGGAAATAGGAAAGCAGAATTTGTGAAAATGGTAAGGCATTCTGGAAAGGTGGAACAGAGGAGGGTGAAGGTTAAGGGAAAACAAAAATAAAAATTATCAAGATATGCTTTGTATATGGACCAACACTACTAGATAAATATAACTATATTTTTAAAGAAAAGAACAGAAGGCTTAAAACAAGTAAAACTGAAGGAAATAAGTTATGAAAAAAATAAGGTTATAATATACATGCAATAGAAAAACAATAGATAAGAACAAGGTAATAGGTATAATTTGTAAAGATCAGTAAGATGATACAGTTTTTAGCAAGATTGATTAAAAATAGAAGACAGAATGTTTAAATTATTAAAATGAAGGTTGTAAGAAGGGACATCACTGTTTATAGTCTAAAAATATAAAAGACACATATAAGATATTTTTATGAGAATATGTATGACAAAAATTACATAATTAACATGAGCTTTGACATATACTAATTAAAATAATTGAAATTATTACATATTAAGTAAGTATATGTATGTATATATACATGTCTTTAAGAATACATGCAATTATTGTACAGTTCTGATTTCTTTAAATGGGAGAAATAGAGTTCCTAATTTAATCACTGTAAAAGAAATCATCCTCCATCTTCTCCCTCAATGTGTAAATTTCTAAGAGGTAGCTTTCTTATTGTTTTCAAATAACAAATATTTTATTTTTAATGAAAAGCTTTGCTATTATTGTTGTTAAATATAAATATGGACACAAGCATAATAATTGTACAAATATTAATAATGATGCTTTATGTAAAAAAGTTATTTGTATTGAAACAAAATTTCAGTTCTGGACATTCATGGATGGAATAAATTAAAAGTAAATAATCAACTAGTTATAAATTTTAAAAACAGTGCAAGAATATTAAATATCAAAAAAGAGAAAACTTACACATAAAGCTCATAAACCTGACATGCTCAAATTGAAATTCAAAAACAATTGATTTACTATCATTATGTGTCTTATTTTATATGATGATACTTACATATTTCCAGGAATGTAACCAAATGTACTTTCCAAAATACTTCCCATTGAAGAGTTCAAGAAATATATATATATATATATATATATATATATATATAGACATACTCTTTAGACTGGAAAAAGCTAACCATAATACATTACAATTACCAAAACAATAACTTACTTAAACTTTCCACCAGTTGGGAAGGGATTTTTCAAAGACACAGTAACTTGCTTCCATTGATAACAAGGAGTTTCACATTTAAAAATTTCCTGAAGTAAAAAACAAATCATACTATGTAGTGATAACAAAAAACAAACCCCCATAACTATAAAATATAAAATTTAGAATTTACAAAGTTTTCATTTGAATTTTTCACTAACAATAATCGATGTTATTCCCTTTTCCCCAAAAATATTAAATTGCTAAATCAGGTAAAGAAAGGATAAAAGTATATTTTATTCCATTTTAGTTTTGTATTACTCTTACAATAATTACTTGTCAAAACAAAGTCTCAAATTGATATCTTAATTATTTTTATTAATAACTTGATATAATTTATCTTCACAAATGATACGTATGGTACTTAATATGTACGATGTATGGCAAAGAGAGGTCTTTGCATGTGTGCGTGCATGGATAAATATCTCTGTGTAAATTTGCACCTGAGTGTTACATGTCTTCTCTGTAATGCACTCAACTATGCTGATACACTTGTAAAAGGTGAAAGACTTATGCTATCTGAAGAGAAACCAGAATGTTATATTTGTAATATAATAAAAGCATAGATACTAAATAAAAGCTTCTAATTATCCAGAGGGCTTTAATGGAAGAAAAATTTCTAAAACTTCTAAATTTTAACCTGACTGCATTCTTGGTACACTTTATATGTCCATAATTTTTTAATCTATTTCCTGGTGACATAAAACCATGAGTAGACAGAGAAATAAACAGAGCTGAAGGATATCTAGGTGTCAGCTTTACTGCCATGAATTCATAGTAATGACAGGCTAAAACTAGCCACGTCTTTTAATTACATGTAAAGAAAATTTTTCCTTCTGAGAATTTACTTGGAGGATCAGGAAAGTATTTTGTGCTCATTATTCTGCAATAAATCAGAAGACAATATACATCTCAGTGACGACACATGCCCACTTCTGCTTCAGGCATCACTATATAATAAACTAGTTTTACTTGTGAATATCTTGCTGCTTTCCTCACACGTCACCACTACAGGAGGATCCCAGAGTCATTCTCTGTACTTTCTATTCTTGTCTCTCTTACCCGAAAGTATATATCTTACAGAAATGTGCCAATAGCAATTTTACTTTTTCTTTGCCCATACATCCATATTTGAAATAATATTTATACAAGATAATGGGCAATAATGTCAGTTATAATGTCCCAACATTTCATACAATTTTAAATATCCTTTTTCTGATCATTTCAGATATACTTAGTATTCTGTCAGAAACATCAACTTTCAATAAACACTAGCATTAGCATTCATTTCATAATGGATTTGCTCCACATGATATTCCAGATAAACTGATGAATGTTGCTGGCAGAAAAGAGAAAAAACTATGTTGCTGAATAAACTAATGACTCTTAGTCCAAACAAAAACACATACATGGTCCATGACTGCTTTAATTCAAATCACAAATTTCAAGGCAAAAAAACGACTTCAAGGATTAAGAGCTGCTTAGAGGTCAAACATGGGGAAACATGCTACTGTAAGGTTTGAGAACAGACTCAGAGACAAAATAAGTAAAATTCACTTACAATTGCTTTAATATTGAGGACTTCACCTTTCAGAGCAAAAGTCACTGTGATGCCTTGCACTCTACGCTTGGGTTTTGAAATTAATAGCAATGAAGCTTCAGCAGGATGAAGAAAGCGACTGGTAAATTTCACAGTAATAATAATTTCATTTCTATTTAACAAAAGACAAAAGTGGAATACTTTTACTGAAAAAGGCTACTCACAAGCATTTATTCACAAGGCAATTTGTAGGCAATGTACATACATCCTGAATTGGTACATGCGTCCTGAAATGTACTTCTACAAACAAAGCAAAACAAAACAAAGCAAACAGCAAAAAAATATGTCGAATTCATAGTCCAGTCTGTAAAATCTATATCATACTTTTAGTCATGTGCATATTTTAACAAATACTGGATTTTCTTGTAGTGAATCACAGGGATTTCTGTGTATATTTTTGTATGAAATTCTTGACACCTGTTTTGCAACTGCTAAGGCAAATTCTGAGTTATATCACTTGACATTGTCACAGTGGAAAAATGCAAATGACAGAATTCAAAAAATACATAAAGGCACAATTGAAATAAAGTTCGAATTTCAAATTCAAATAATAGAGCTGCTTGTTACTTAAGAGAAATCATCAATTAAAAGAATAGACAACATATATACTTTTAATTTTAAAATTGTATAGCATAAAATATAGTACAATGGCCAAAAGTCTATGGATTTAGAGAGGATTACATTTAACAATTTTTAGGAAAATGACTGTGCCACAGCAGCTTGACAACCTTGCTTGATTCCACATAGACCATATATGCATGGCTTAACTGCAACTAATACAAAGAATGAAAGAAAGGCCCACTTTTTTTTTCAGAACATGAGAGGATGGAAGCTAATAACGATTTAGTGCTGGAACATTTCTGACTTTCCTTCTCCTCTCGTTGAAGAGGCTGTGAGTAGCCAGCTTCTCATTGCCTCCCAGATTCTGAGGAGGTATGATATTTACTACCTCATTTTCTTTATTGTGTTGTTTCAAGCTATGAAATTGCTTAGTAGCAGGCATGGATTGGCTTCTCAATTATAGAGTGTCTTATCTTCCGTAATTCCTTTTGTTTTAGTGTACTGCACGATAGACGTGCACAGATCTGGTACTTTTGCGTGTTCTTTCTTCTGCTGTTTGTGTAAGTAATGAGATCCATGAATCAAGAATGAGCTCACTCCTCTTTTTGTTTTGGAGACAGGGTTTCACTAAGAAGTTCAGGCTGATATTAACCTGTCTTTGTAGACTAGAGTGGCCTTGAACTTGCAGTGATCCTCCTGCCTCAGACTCCAGAGTGCTGGGATTTATAGGTATGTGCCACCATTCCTGGCTGAGTTGTTTTAATCTTTCCGCATTGCCCTGTCCTGACACAGCTGGGGTGGCAAATGTTAGGCACTTTTTAACCACTGGTTTTACTCTACTTTTTAACATTATTCACCATGTGACCTTTTTTTTCTTTTTATACAAACTACTATCTATTAATTCTTATAGAGCATATATATTTAAGAATAGAGACAGGGATACAGTCCCTTGATATCAAACCTTGGACAAATTTCCACAGAGTTTTATTGCAATTACTGTTGAATGGTGAGACTAGTAAGCAGCAAAGGCAACTGGGAATGGAGTTTCAAAATCAATATAATAAAACCAGAAAACTGTACTTTAAGGAAATTACAGGTCAGATCTAGTAGAATTAGGGGCAATTTTTACTCACATATGTGTTCTCAGCAACCTCCTAAAGTTTGTGTGAAAGAATTATAAACAGCTTACAGGTTTTAATTTCAGAAAAAAGAACACTTGACATTGAAGTTTTTTGGAAGTGTTCAGACTCAAACTATGTTACAATACTTGTAAGTTGTTGCATAATGTTTTAGATATTTTAAAAGTCATCAGTAGGCAAAGTACACACATCAAGTACACACATATTCACACATTCAACTGATATTTATAATTTATAATATTCCAAGTATACTGTTAGGTTTTTAGGATACAAATTTTAGAGAAAAATGCTCCCACTGACATTCTGGATGGCATATTCTATTGCAGAAATTTGGCATTACCACATCTCAATATAAATTTTAATATTTACAAGTTATATGTTATACTGTATTAGCATAGCACATCCTGGGGTGTGAGATATAGTCTGCAGCATCAGATAATCTGATATATAAGGTGGGGTACAAAGGATAAGAATAAACTAGCTTTATTGAAGAAAGGAAAAACGAAGATATTTCATGCTCTTGTATGTGCAGCTATTAGGTGTTTAGAGACTCAGTCAAAGGTCTATGGTGAAGCATAGGGAGCAAGAATGCCAGCAATGTAAGATATACTTGAGCAAGCCATAAAATAACTGTCATAAAGTTGGAGGAATATTTAGGACCCTGTTGAGACACTCAGTATATATATATATATATATATATATATATATATATATATATATTAATGTCGATGGGTGCTACTGGAATACCTTAAGCAGAAAAGTCGTAGGTTAAATTTCCATGGTCTACTGTGGTAGTCTATAGTAAAGATGAATTTACATTAAGAAGCATAAAAGAGAGGAGAAAAAGTCGCCAGTTTTATTTTTTTATTTAAAACTTTAAGGATTACTTTAACCATGAAGAGTTGGTACATGAACATAACACATGCAGTTTTAAAGAACAAGGCTGCGTGATGGCACAGTCTTGTAATCTCAGCAGTCTAGGAAGCAGAGGAAGTTTGAAAGTTTCACTCTAACCAGAGAAATTTAAAGTCTTTATCTCAAAATAGAGATTGGACTAAGGATGGAGCTCAGAGCAAAAACCTTGTGTTAAATCCAGGAAATGAAAAGGGAACGGAAGGGAGGGGAAAGGGAGGGAAGGAAAAGTAAGAGGGAAATGGAGAAAGTGAAAACAGAAAAGTGAAAGGAAGACAGGAAGGAATGAAGGAAAAAAGAAAGGAAGGAAAGAAGGACAAAAGGAAACGAGGAAGGAAGAAAGAAAGAAATGATCTATAAAATCCATAGAACATGGCAGTGGAATCTGTCCTTATGGGAGTGTATGAAAGAGAGACTATCCAAGAATTACAACAAAAAGGTCCCATCTACACCCCACTCTCTACCAGAAACCACTTCATATGCCTTGTGGGAGAGGGAAAAGGCCCTACTTTGCCCATACCTCCTCCTTGCCTCACCTTCTGTCAGTCACTGTCTTTGTCACATGGCCTCTGTGACAGAGGTAACAGTGCCTATGCTACCAAATCCTAGTTAGTTCTGCACTTTGGTTCTTCTCAACACAGACTGAAGAGATGACAACCACAATATTGATCTGATTGAGGATGAGATCAACACCCAGGAGGAAAGCTTCCCTCCACAACTGAAGTTTTACTCTACTTCACAGATTAGAGGAGAGGCAGGATAAGGAGACAAGCTTGGAGAGGCTGTTAGCTGAATAGACTATCCTGACAGCACTTGAGAAACTCAACCTTGGGCCAAGAAGATCACAGGGCCTGTACTTGTGGTGGGAGGCCCCCCAAATTAATGTGTTACAAATCTAATCACCAGAGGAATGATATTATCAAGGTATGAAAAAACAGTTTTCATTCACTTACAGTCATCAATAATTAGAGTGTGATCAAAGAAATAGGATAGCCCAGAGAAGGCTCAAGGGTTCATATAAAAATTGGAAGATGGAGCCAAAACGTTTGACTAACTTCATGGACAAACTGATGGAGAGATAAGTATATCTAAAATGTCTGGTGACACTTATGAACAATGAAGGCAAGGATTACCAGTATTAATTATGTAGTGGGTAACACTGAGTTCCATAGGGGTCTTCACCACAGACTACATTGATACATTCTGCCACCAAATTGATCAACATTCATCTCTGTTGTGCACTCCTAAAAAAAGGGCAAAACTTTCACAGCCTGATCTCAATCAGAAAGGAGCCACTTTGAGTCAGACAGTAATGCAATGCATAGTTGTTAGTCAAAGCATACAAATCTTCAGATGAAAGTTGAATAAGTTCAGAAGACCTGGTGTTCAGTATATTGACTATAATTAGCAATAATATATTGTTATTGTTATTATTTGGTACCAGAGATTGAACTCAAAACCTCGTGCTTGCCAACCAGCTGCTTGTGCCACTAAGCTAAACCACCAGCCCAATAATGCATTTTTTTGTTGTCTTTTTCCTTTTTATTGGTACCAGAGATCGAACTCACGACTGCCTGCTTGCAAGTCAGACGCTTATGCCGCTGAGCTAAACCTCCAGCCCCCAATAATGCATTTTATACTTGACATTTGCTAAGAAAGTAGATGTGAGGAGTGTAGAGCACCACACACACAAACACATACACACATACACAGAGTAACTATGCAAAGTGATGGATATGTTCATTAGCTCATTGTAATAATCATTTCACAATGAATACCAAAATGCATTGCCTATTTTAATTCATATGGTGTTTGCAAAATTACATCACTAAGACTGATGAAATAGAAAATGAAAACTAATCATCAACGTGATGCTAATAGCAGATAAAGCTTTGGGGTGCTTAGCACTGAAGGCAGAGTTCTCATGAACAGGATTAGTATCTTTATCAAAGAGGTTCCAGAAAACTGTCTTGACTTTTCTACTATGCAAAAACACATCAAGAAAACTCTAGAAACAGAAAGTGCACATTCACAAGACAAAAAATCTGGCAGTGCCTGATCCTAACTTTCTCATTATTAATAAATGTGGGAAATAACATGCTTTTGTTTATAATCTACCCAGTCTATCATATTTCATGGCAGCCCAAACAGATTAAGATACAATTCTATCTCATGGTACTTTAGGATTGCTTATAAGTGAGCAAAGTTACATTACAATGAATCAGAAGATATTTATTAAATGTAATGCAGATGAACATTTATATACTTACACAATACATAAACACTGTATATGCAGGTGTCAGTTTAATGAGAGTACCAGTTCTGAATTCATATTGATTTATTTTATATCTCTTCTTCATTATTTAATAGTAGGAAAAATTTAGCAACTTATTTAATCATTTTGTGTTTCTGATATTCTTTTGTGATTTTTTTGTAACAATGTTAGAGTGTTAGGAAGATTATAAAAATATACATAAAATGTCTTATATATAGATTTTCATACATTGCAAGTATTTATTAGATTTAATATATATATATATATATAACATTTTCACATATATTTTTCATGAAATTGTGCCCATTAGAATACATATAAATGACTAAAAGGACATAAACTAATAGACTGTGTTCATATGATCCTAGGTGAATTTTTGCTATTATACATTTTTTTGGTAGCTCAATTTTTTTTTTTACATTGAACTGGTTTACATTTGCTCTAGAAATAATAACTGTTAATTTTACTTAACACGAAAAGTGGATTTAAGGTAAAATATCAGAGAAGTAGTATGATCATAAGAGAATAACCATGCAATGTGAACTTTAAAATAAAAGGGATAGTCTATTAGAGGTATGAGTAACGTAAGGTTAAGGAAATATAATCAGTCCTATTATACTTCTTGAAAAGTAGAGAACAGATCTCAAGTTATCAGATCCCTGAGAAAACAGAGTTTGATGACAATGTTAAGATGACTTTCCATCATCATAGCTATATACAATATAAAAAATCTATGTCCTTAGAAAATGGTAATTTCTCTGCAAAAGTTTTTTTCTTCTTCTGGCATTATGTTTATAATACTGAAGGTAGTGGATAGAACTACAGTCAAATAACTTATAATTTTCTTTCTATGGCTCATATACATGAAAAAAATCATGCATACACTAAAATATAGTTGTTTATACTGTCAGAATTGTTTTAACAAAATTATTGAGGAATCTTAGAAAATAAATTTTATCTATGTTTTATCTATGTCAGGTACAGGCAGACTTCTTGAATAGTACTTCAATGGCACATAAAATAATATCATGAATCAACAATTGGGATTATATCAAATAAAAAAAAACTTCCATCCAACAAAGGAAACAATGAACAGGGGAAGATATAAACTATAGAATGGAAAAAATGTTTGCCAGCTGCTACTCAGACTGAGGACTAACATGTCGAATATATAATGAACTAAAAAAAGTATACCCACCAAAAAACTCAATCAGTCAATATGAGTAATTGAGATGAACAGACATTTTCCAAAAAAAATAAATACAAATGCACAATAAGTACATCAAAATGCATAATAGCTTTGATTATTAGAGAAATGACAAGCAAAAGATCATTGAGTTCTACCTTACCCCTGGAAGAACTGCTGTCTTCAAGAACTCAAAACATCACAATTGTTGAGGAGGGAAAGAGAAACCTTTTTAGATTGTTAGTGGAAATCTAAACTAGTACAATCTCTAGTATAATCAGATGCCCCAGGAAATTGAAAATAGAAATTTCCTGTGACCTAGCTATTCCTCATCTGAATATCAACACAAAGAGTTGAAGACGTCATATCTTAGTGATGCATGTCTATGCAAATTCAGAATACCTTAATTACAGAAGGCGTCTATATGTCCACCAAGAGTTGAATAAAGAAGATGTTTAACACACACACACACACACACACACACATATATATATATAAAGGCATACATATATTTTATAAAGTATATATATATATAAAGCATATATATATATAGACACACACACACACATACACACACACACACACACACACACACACACACACACACACAAACAATAAGTACTACTCAGCCATAAAGAAGAATAAATTGGAGTTATTTGAATGGAAATATTTGAATCTTGAGATCATAATTCTACATGAAACAAATCACATGTAGAAGGTCAAATATCACATGATTTCTTTTACATAAAAACCACAAAATAAATAACTTAAAGATCAAAATAGAGGATAATAGGAAATAGAGAGATGGACCTTTTGGAGATGAAAGAAGCCTGAGGAAGGAGAGAGATATTAGGGATGTGTCATTGTTTAAAAATGATCAAGATGCAATATGTATATGTACTAACTCTCCAAAACAAACATTCTTATTATATACTATAAAAGTATGCTAATAAAGAATATTTCAAAAAAATTTATCTATATGCGAGTACTTCCTTGTTTTATATATATATATATTCATTATACATTTCATATATTCAGTTATTCAAGTCATTTCACTATAATTATAATAGGCATAAAATTCTATGTTTGATATATTCAGTAAAGCAATATTTTATAGCAAACACTTACTGGGGAGGGACTGTTATAACATTTCCTTTCTGAACCAGAGAAAAGTCAGCAGCATCTCTCCCAACAATTGTAGCATGATACAATATGTTTTTCAAGCTTGGATTTTTCAGTAGTATCTATGTTGAAAATAATAAAATAAACATTATTTATTTAAGAATTATATAGCTCTACCATGTTGCATTTTTATCAATTTTTTATCAAAGAAATTTAAGCATTTTAACAATGAAAATATCTAATATACACTACCTGAAAAAAGTCAGAGTTGTTTTTATTGGTAGCAACTCTATCCCTCTGCTATCTACCTTACCTGTGCCACTTACTTGAAATAGGAATGAAAAAGAATTTTTCAACAAGATAAATAAAAAATGAGAAATCATCTGGTCATCATCGACTTGACCAAAATGAGTGTTGTAATCAGGGGTTGCAAGGACAACAATTACATATAGGACATATAATTTATAGTATTATTTAAAATGGTCTCCCAAGGAGTGAAATACAAAGAAAGTGCAGAAATCTGCCTTCAACTTAAAGACCCAGAAAATTCAGCTATGGGCATGGATCCCACATCAATGTTCTTCCTGAGTACATTTGAATAACTAGAGCCCCAGGATAGTGCCTCCCACCAGTCCAACTGGAGGCTTAGAGACCACAATATTGTTTCAGGCAAGTATGTTTCACAGATCTGTGCTGGGAAGGTCCCAAAGTCTGTGAGGGAAACTAGAAAGTCTATGCCTGCAGGGTGAAGGATCTCTGCCAGTAGTTTAAGGATTCTGTATTGGAGCCAAGAATCGACACTGAAAATAAGGACCAGGGCTCCCCTGCACACTACCACAGTCATCCTCAGTGACAACGAGGTCCCAAGGTCCTCTGATGGTGAGAACAACCAAGTTCATATCAGAAAGCTAGCGTGGCAAGCTTCTCCCGGAGATTGAAGAGCACACATCCTCTGAAGCCAGGAAGCAAAACTCAAAGTAAGGACCAAAGCTTTCCCAAAGTGAACCACAGCCTGGCTTACAGTGTTTTATTATGATTCTCTCTCTCTCTCTCTCTCTCTCTCTCTCTCTCTCTCTCTCTCTCTCTCTCCATATATATATATATATATATATTCATTAATATATAAAAATTATTTTATCTTTATTATTAATGAATAATATATATTATTCATTAATATATAAAAATTATTTTATCTCCTAGAAAGCTAATTTCTATTTCGTTTTTGAAGGAAAGTTTTGAAAATCATACTCAATTCATTGTGTACTGCTACTAGTTTTAATCCTAGAATTTGCACTGCAAGCCTAAATATGTAAAGAATGCTACAGAATCATCAGGCTCCTCTGTAGTCAGATTCTCCCATTCAACTTTGGATACATTTTATTTCACAAAGAAAAAAAAAACACCTCTAAATGCTTTTGAAAAGTCTCAAAAGACAAAATACTTATAATTTAAGTTTTATAGTTTTCAAAATGCCATTATATTTAATTTTTGTTTATATCTTTAAAAACTTATATTTGTGATAAGTATTTCATACTTTAAACAATCTGAGAATATGAAGACTATTTCCCGTAATATGGTAAATGTGGAAATCGTATTGTCATTTAAATAAGGTTTAATTTTTTAAATATCACAATTAATGCTTACTTATAAACATTAGATGTTGGTAATATTAAAATTTTTGTGGTGCTAGACACTGAAAGAGAATTTTTTTGCATATCATATACACATTCTACCACTAAGCAATATCCTCAGCCCAATATTAACTACTCACATAAATGAAAATATAAAAGTTGTATGACTATAAACATGATATGAAGAAATACAAAGGGAATTAGATAATTGTTAATGATTATTAACCATAATAATTTACTGCTTAATAGAATCTTTTATTTCCTGAAAGCTTAAGCAAAGTTCTTCTAATTATTTCAATTTTATTTTGAAGTCAAAGTGCTTCCAATATAATTAAAGTTTCAAAGACAGTACTAAAACTCTTTGAGTACCACTGCTATTAAGAGATACCATAGTAAATACTGTTGATGAAATTTTCCAGTTTTTTCTCATTTTTCTAACAAAAATAAAAAAATAAAATAAAACGAAGAAATCACATCTCATTATTTTCAAACAAAAACTTAGAAGGGGAACTTTTCTTTTCCTAAAATGAGGCATCTACATTTTAAGAGAAGAACCTGAATTTTTTCTTTTTAAATTATACTCTTACCAGTCACCATTCAAATTAACATGGGACCACACAGTTATTTTCTAAAATGTAAAGTTGTAGAGATCACCAGGACATATTTTTAAGGATCAAATGTGGATAATGTTTGAACTCAAAATTGACATTATTTCTCCTCTTCAAATAGATATGCTAAGGAGAATACAATACAGGACAAGGGAAATAAAACATGACAAAGTGATACATTAACTTGCATACAGAATAAATTATTATTTACAAAACAAAAATGAGAAAAGTTGAAGCATCAATTTTTGCAGGTGGTGATCATTATTAAGCAAAAACTATGCCCTTCATTCTTCTTTGCTTAGAAAGAGTGATGAGTGGCATGGCTTACTCAGTCCAGACAATATTATACTATATAGGCATATTTTCTTAATTTCAGGTTGAATAAGAAACATATAAAATATCTTTAAAGTATTTAACCATATGTATTTTGTCTCAAATATATGCTTACCTGCCTTTGCACAGAGTCATACAGAGTACAATAAAATGGCACCACCTTCTTTGGGAGGAATGCAGGAAGCTTTTCATACATGTAGACACACAGCATGAGCATTAGGATTGGATTTGGTTCACAGATATCAACAGCCTGGTTTTAAAAAAGAGAAATACAAATTAGAGAGTATACAGATAAAATAGATAAAGAGAAAGCATGATATGTGAATTATTCAATTATCTTGAAACATTTTTTCTGATGTGCAATGATGTTGATATAAAGAATTCAAATATTATTCTTAGTCATAAGAACTTGATCTACATGTCTGAAGATGAAATAGACACACTCTATTAAGAAAATAGACCCCAGCCTCAAAGTGTTCATAAAAACTGGTCAGAACTCAGAAGAATACTATACTGAGAAGTGATGATTGAAGTGCCTTTAGATGCCATGCTATATTTAAAGTATCCTATAGTGCAGTAAAAGAAAAATGACAAGTAGACAAACTACTGAAGTAAAATATGATAAGACATTCTAAAAGGAAAGCCCATCAGAGGCAATGACACATGAAATGAGTCTTTAGGTGTGTTTACACTTTAAGCAGATTCTGTCTGTTTTGAGAGAAATGGTGTTTTCTGTCTGAAGGACAAAGCCCTATTGAGCATGAATATAGAGGTACATGGTGTTCATTCATGACAGAAATGCAGTTTGGATCACGCAAACAATAATCAATGGGAGAAAACACTATTGAGATACAGGGTCACATTGTAGAAGTTCTGGGTACCAGTTGAGGAGTTTGGCTTGTGAGTAAGAAATAATATGACAAGAAAAAGTAATTCAAGTAGGTCAGGCCCAGGGTAGCTGAGAAAATGTTTCACACAAAGTAGGCAGATAAATGTCAAGAAAATGTAACTACACAAGTAAGATAAATTACTGATGGTTTCTGGAACTGATGTGAGACAAAATCCAAAACTGAAGAGAAATAAGGGCTGTGTCAAAAATATAGCAAAAACATAATTAGAAGACAAAATGTGAAATCAGGAACAGAAAAGGGAAGCCTTCTATCAGTTTATGTAGTGCTAACGATCTCTTAGAAAAATTTGGGTGTAGCAGCATAAATAATTCACAAAAAAGGGTATTGCAATGAATGAGACATAGGAATTGAAAGATACACAACATTAATGAACAAAAACTCTATCATGCTGGGTGTAACTGGGACTCTAAATGTCCAAGTTTGCAACTGGAAATGATCTGCTACTGACCTAAAACTGCAAAGAACATTAGTGAATATCTAATGAATTATACAACTGAGTGTTAAATTTCCTAGTAGATTCAAGGAAATAATGATAGACCCTGTGGTCATCTGTTAGTTCATATTTCCTTATACACTCATGTCATTCTATAAGAAAAGAAAAGATTTTTTTCTTTCTTGAACAAGGCATTCCAATAAAAATTCTGGAAAGGAGCTCTATGGTAAAATAAATAAACTAATAACTTGGCTTGTATAAAAGTAGCAGAAAGCTGCTTGAGAGTGTGATGAGATGAGTACTTAGTATAAACCAAGATAAGTTTTCTCATTACACAAATTGGTAGATTCTCAAGCTTCAATCAAGGTAATATCTGACAACAGATACAGGGACATGCTTTGAAATAACAAAATTAAAGTTCTTAAATGTATAGAATCTCATATTCACCTTTGCCATCTAAGAAGATTAATATCAAAGTGAACAATATGTTCCTCTAGGATGTTATGTGTTGAATCAGCCTATGGTGAGATAGCTAGGAGGCTATCTATGGTGAGGGGAAATAAGTGTGTTGAGGAAAAGGGTTGCTCTGCTGGCAGAAGACTGGGCTCAGATTTTACAATAAATAAATCTTTGCAATTCTACTTCAGTGTCTACAATGTAAAATGATATAGACAGAAATATAAAAAATCAAAAATTCAGCTATGAAAAATATGCAATAGGATGAAAAAGCAGTAATTTGGTAAAATAAAGTATTTATACTAATGGGAACATATGTGATGAGAGATTTCATGAAAAAAAAAAAAGCATGATAACCTTAATGGTACATTTCAATGAAAATAACCTAAACCAATTACACTTTTGTCAAACCTAGGCTTAAAAAGGCAAATTATAAAATGACTTTTCTCTAAAAAAATGCTTCTGATGAAATTCGTTTCAAAATCTTAATCATTATATCTAACCTGTACCTAAATCTATATCTAAAAGAACATAAATTATATTAGTCCTCTCCCACCATGAAGACAGTGATTTTCTTTTGAATTATCTGTTACTGCTGCAGTATGCAGATTGAATGTACATCCCAAAACCCATGGTTAACAATTTGGACCCTAGAATGGTGCTACTGAAAGGTGGTAGGACTACTAAAACATTGAGCACAGTGGTAGGTCTTAGGCCACTGGGGTATGCACTCGAGGGGAATCAAAGGATCCTGGTATTTTGCTTTCCCTCTTTCCTTTCCCAGACAAGCTTTTAGTAGTTTGCTCCATCACACACTCCACTGACGATGTTCTGCTCATTCTGAAAGTCTTAAGTAATGGAGTCACTCAAATTTGGAAAGGAACTACTGGAAACTTAAACCAAAAGAAAACTCATCTATTTACAAGTTATTGTTTCTACTAAACTCTCAAGGAGCAGTTTAAACACCAAGTGTCTTATGTAATATTTGTAGGTGTCTTGCTTGAGTGGCTTCTTGCCTCTTTAAATTTCCAAAATATATTGATTTAATGCCTATTGTGGCATTCACTACCTGCCTTTCACCAGCTTGTTTTCACATTCTTGTCATAAATAATTGATAACAGATTTGAAAACATGAGTGTAATTTCACATATCAGTACCTTTATAGGATCTAGCCAGTATTGTTTACAGAAAAGGTTCAATAATTTGTTGAACTTAAAGAATTGGAAAATATTTATTCTTCCAAGTATTGCAAATATTTATTCTTTTTTTTAATTTAAAGAAAAACAAAACAAAACAAAATAATAAATGGGTACCAGTAATACAGAATTTAAAAAAAATAAACAGTAAGAAATCACTAGTTAATAGATTACATATTGTCATCTTAGAAAGAGCTGATCAAGTTATAAAATTAAGCATACAAAGTGGACATTCAAACAGTGAGCCTGCAAACAGTTGTGTTCAATGATCCAACAAAAACTTAGTAATATGGTCATCTATCTTACACACCCAAACATACTTATAGTTGTGTCCTTTACAAAATTTTCTTTTCCTCTCTTTTTTACAATAACATTTATACATTTTGGGTTTTATTACTCCCACAGTTCTTATTACTTTTTTTTGGAAGAGAATAAAACCAAATGTGACCGAACAAAGCAGTCAGTCAAAACAAAGGATGGACATAGTACATGATGTAAAAACAGAATAAAAGGCAGTCAACAATGGTTACCATAATGCCTTTTGCTACCTTAAAAAGAATTGCCTATATCATCAGATATAATAAAATTGAACAAAGCAGTACAGAACAAAACCAATAAAACCTAAACATTTGAGACATTACTGAACTTCCAAAGAAGATAATAGTCAAACCAGAATGGGAATCATAGTGAATCTTATTGCCTTCAAAGTAGTTGCCTATACCCTCTTGATAATATTAAATATTATCAAGAATAGGACAGAGTAAAATCAGTCAAAACAAAATGGTAAGAGCAATACAGGGCTTCAAATCAAGTTAATAGGAAATCAAAAGAGTTACTATAGTATATCCTACTAATTTTAAAAAAAATTCCCTTAATTAAAATGATAATAATAAAAAATAAATATTTTTATTAAAAAAGGAGGAGATTGAGATAAAAGAGGACATAGCATAACAATACAGGTCAGAACAGAACAATTTAAGCAACATAGTGTTTCACCACAAGATAACAAATATTTATTCTTTTGAAGTATTTTATTAGAGTTGTTACTCAAAACTGTATTATAAAAACAACACTCTGACTACATATCTTTTGGTTGTTCCTCTTTACAACTTTACCAATAAAAAAGAAAATAATTGCCAGTTTGATACAAAATTACTTTAACATCCAGATGACTTTCGTAAAAGTGTGAAGTAAGCATTGTAAAATTCATAACAACCTTAAGTAAATCACTTTATATTTGGAAATATCTGGACAATATCATTTATCTTTTTCAACATAATCTTTCTCTGATGCACTGCTTTTGGTTTCTCAAAAGTTCTAGTGAACCTCATAACTTCTGCTGCATTAGATTATCATTTTCATTTCCCATGGAAGGAATGTAAGTAGATTATCTGTGTGTAGTGGTTTACTCGGTAATCGAGGAACTGTAGGGAGTTTAGTCAGGAGGATCATGAAGTCATACTCAGGCTGGGAAATTTAGTGTCTTAGTGAGAATTTGTTTCAAAAATACTTGTTTTAAGTGACTGGAGAAATAGTAATGACCCTGGGATAAATAACCCAGGTAAAATTAAAAAAAAAGTAGCAAGAACTCTTTGATCAATTGAAATTGCTATTTTATTAATTTGCTTTCATTGTCTCTGATTCCTTGCCTCTTCTTCCATCTGATTATTGTAATCATAAAAGCTTTTAGTCTCATAATACCCACATGGTAAACTTCTGACTGTTTATGCTGGGCATATAATACACTGTAGAGGCTTGTTCCTTATGGGCAGCCAACACAGGCAGGGAGATCCATGTGGGCAGACAGTGTAGGTAGGGAGACACAATTAGGTATGTGCCCTGTGCCTGCAGGTTGCCATTGGAGACCCTTGCTTCCTTCAGGCAGCCAGTACCCACGAGGAGAATCAGACAAACACATCCTTGTGTGTCTGCCACCATCTGTGGAGTCCTTGTGTAGACACACAGGCTGAGATAAGAACAGCTCAGCCACCACACACTCCTGGCCATTGGGGAAGCCTCAGTGTAGCTGCATGGGTCTGGAGAAGTCTGCCCCCTAACCTGCTACTTCCCTGGGAACCTGAGTTCAGAGAAACACTGGTGCCTGGCTCATTCTCCTACACTGCAGAGGGACAGTCAACATGGGAATTGCCTGGGACCTCACAACTAGGTTGTTGGGAAAAACCCAGGACAATGTCGAAATGAAGGAACAAAAGGCAATGCCAGACCATCAGCCCACACAGATCAAGTCTGGGAGATACAGTCATGGAAAAATGTTGGAAGTCACACACCTAAAATCTCTACAAGGATTACAACTGAAGTAAAGCAACAACTTCATGAGACTGTAAAAGGAACCAGATCAGAAAGAATGTCTCTTGTAAAAGAAGAAATCTCAAACATAATGAAAGAATTGATGAGCATAAGAAGACAGATAAAAAAGAGGAGCATAGGAAAATGATAGAAACCTTGAATGAACAATATAGGAAGGAGTTACAATATATGAAACAGATTCAAAGAGGTATCCAAGAAATTAAAAAGCTAATCAAAAGTACACAAAAACATTTGAAAGAGACTACAGATAAAATTTTAGACCTTAAAACAGGATCACAGCTGGCAACCATGAAAGGAAAGGTCTCTTAAAAATAACAAGGAACAAGGAAATAACAATTGAATGAATACAAGATGACACAAAGAAAAATAAATGTGACCAGTATCAGGGAAAAAGCAGGGTCAACACAAATGAAATAACAGGACTATTTTTAGAAGTAATAGTAGAAAACACCACAAACATGGGAAAATTATCAGGCATTTATATAAGGCATTTAGATAAGAGGCATAGTCCAACTAGTCATAGCTAAAATAAATCTACACCCAGACTTATTATAATCAAGATCCTAGAAATTCAGCACAAGGACAGAATATTAAAAGCTGTTAGAGAAAAGGATCACCTACAAAGGAAAACCAATCAGAATCACAGCAGACTTGTCAACACAAATAATCATCAAGAAGAGTTTGGAGTGAAGTGTTTAATATCCTGCAGGAAACAACTTTCCACCCAGAATGATGTACCCTGAAAAATTATCTTTCAAATTTGATGGATAAATTAAATATTTTTATGATGAAGAACAAGTGAAGGAATTCATGACCACCAAACAAATCCTACAGAGAGTGCTGAAGGCTATTCTAGAGAGATAAAGATGACGATGGTTTCAGGAATAGCAGCACAGGTGACTGCCAAACAGTTGAATGAAGCAGAAAAAATGTGGGTCAACAGCAGGGGTATAGTGTGACAGAGATGAACCAATGAATGAAGGCTGTAACTATCACTGTAGTACTCAATTCCCCAATACAAACAAACACATGGAGAGTGGATCAAGAAACAAGATCCATCAATATACTGTATATAAGAAACAAATTTGGCTTGAAAGGAAATTCGTAGATTGAAGCTTAAAACAGCGAAAACAATTTTCCCACATGACAGGACATGAGAAAAAAGCAAGAGTAACTTGCCCATCAGCAGCAGAATGGAAAAGAAGGATATGGCATTTTCATACAATGAAAGATAGTTATGAAACAGGATAATCTCAAGGCTCTTATAGGTAAATGGATGCAACTGGAGATCATGCTTGTGGGGGAAATGATTTGGACTCATATGGGTGAGCATCAAATTCTCTTCCAAGCATAAAAAAATTGAAGGAGTTAGTGAGATCCAAAAAGCACAACAGATATTATGAAAGTGATAGGGAAGGAAATACCTTAAAAGCGAAAGTAGTAACCACTGTTAATTTCCTATTATCTTGCTTTGAATTCTTGTATTATTTTCATAATTTTCTTAGGTTTGGTTTTATTCTACGTTTTGTTAGATTTTACTGTGTCTCATAGTATGTGAAGATATTTTGCAAATGAGAATATGTATTATGGTAATCACTGTTGATGTTCTATTATCTTGTTTTGAAGTCCTAGAACGTTTTCAATCTTTTGTTTAGATTGGCTTTATTTTGTTTTGTTTTGTTTGCATTCATTGTGTGTGAAGATATGGACAACTATATTGAAGAAAATGCGACATTACTGTACCCACTATTGATTTCCCATCATCTTGATTTGAACTCCTATAATGCTTTCTTTTTTTTTTTATTGGTTTATTCTGTTTCGTTTTATTTTATTTTAATATGTGTAATAGTATGGACAGCTATTTTGAATAAATTGAATAAATAGTAACCATCATTGATTTGTTGTTGTCTTGTTTTGAAGTCCTATACCACTTGCATTGTTCTGTTCTGATTTGCTATATTCTGTTTTTATTCTTTTTAATATATATTATTTATAAAATAAATTTTATATATATTATTTATAAAATAAACAAAATATATTTTATTTATAATGAACAGATATATTCTGTTCATTATTTTCCTGTCTTTGGGTCAAAATATGTGATATCTACAATTTAAAACACAGAGGTTTATTGTGGTTCATAGTTTGAGGGCATTCAGTCCATGGTTTTGCTGACTGTAAGGCAATGCAGTGGAAGATGTTCAATATATTATATCCAGGAAGCAGAGAAACAGAATAAACTCTCTCAAGTCATATCCTTAGTGACCCTCTTCTTCTGTCGAGGCCATACTCCCCAAAAGCACATTCACCTGTGACCTTATTAATGGATTGATTCATTGATGAATATAGTGCCTTAAATGATCCATTCACCTCTCGAAAGTCACACCTCTGAACACATGAGACTTCTGGGAGACATTATAGATCTAAATAGTAACATATGCCTATGTCTAAATTACTAATACTAAACTTTAAGAAGGAAAACTTTATTTCCTATTTTCCTTTTGGAGTACTGGGGATAGAAATTCAGATCCTTCAACAGGATAGACAATAATTCTACTGTTGAGTTAAATTCTCAGCTCTGGGGAAACCTTGGCATAAAATAGCTTTACTGTATAACATTTCCCCTTACTGTCAGTCTGTTCATACTATTGCCTTTGAACAATTTCTTTTTTCACCATTACCATTCCAAACTGAATCCACTCTCTAAGATACTAAATTTATCTTACTTCCTCCACTGAGCTGTTTGTGGAATAGACTGCATCACATTGATCTCTTCCTTCATCTAAATTATGGATTTTATTTTTTGCATGTATTCCCATTGATACTATATTAAGTGAATAGAATTTGATCTTTAAAAACCCACACATCTTGATAATGTGATGAATTTATGCGTTTTTCAAATTCTAAAATCATTTGTTATATCATTTCATTATCCCTAAATAACAAAGGGCTCCTACAAAAGTAAGCATATATTTCAAATATTTACTTGTTGATAAATTAGAAGATAAATGAATATAAATATTCTATAAACTGTCCTTTTAAGTCATTGTTTGATTATGTGTAGTTATGCATTAACCTTCATTGTTTTGGTTTCACATACTGCAACTAAAATTCATTATTATTATGTGAATTTGCATGTGCATAGTTACTGTTTTATAAGATGACTTAATGTATTATATATACCATCAAATAACTACATATCATGATTTTTAATATTCAATACATTCTTGTGAGTCATGTTTAAATTTCCATATTTTAATTCATGAGATCTGTTTCAATTCAAAATTAAGGGGACTGGGAATATAGCTCAGAGTCTCAAGTGCCTGTCTGGCAAGTGCAAGGTCATGAGTTCAATCCTCAGTACCAAAAGAAAAAAAAAAAATCCCGAAACACACATAAAAAAAGAAAAAAAATGTTTTTCAATTGAGAATTAAGATTTATAAACAAAGTAATAGTATAAAGATACTCATAAAATGTGTATACTCTTATGATATAAAGAAATGTACCTGTATACCCATGTCAAGGCCAAGTTCATAGAAACTATTTATTATAATCAAGCAGTTGTGGAGATACTGTTCAGGAAGTTTGGGTTGTGTATACATATTCACAAAATGAGACTCAATCTAGAAAAGAAAAAAATCATTTTCTTTAAAAGAATAAAATTGCTACATCTAAAGTATTCCCTGTAGTTGACTAAAGAGTTATTTAAATACCAAATTTGTAACTTGTAGGTTATTGCATTCAAAATAAAAAGATAAATAAAAAGTCAATGGTAACAGTTCAAACATATGTCTTTATAATTAAAGCATTTAAAACAATCAATTTATAGAACACATTTCAAATAATAATCACTAAATTCCCTCAAGTGGCTCTTACCAAAAATGGACAGTAAGCTGCTAACTGTGTTGCTAAAACAAGGCCATCTAAAAGGTCTTTGTCAAAATTTACAATCCATCTCTCAGAGGGAATTGCACCTGTTTGAAAAAAAAAAGGAACGCATAAATGTATCAATAGTTTTACTTTGTTAAAAAAATACAGACATTTGAGTAACAGTGCAAGAAAAATTTGCTTCTACTTATGAAACTAAAGCATATTTTTTGGAAAGTAAATAAATTCTAATCTTCACAATTCTAATGTTATGAGAAATGTCTATATATTTTAAAATTCCTGAAAGTGGTTTCCTTTATTTCTACATGAACCTTTTTGAAAAGTATTCTGTCATGTACTCATGAAGATAGATGAAGTCCTTTCAGAATTAATCATTCTGTTGTGTACCTTCAAGTTCAACTCTTTCATCAAGTTTCATCAACATGCACGGGTAAAAAGGCTCAAAATCGTAGTAACTGTAGAGTTCACTGACAGTTTCTTTAACTGTTACAGAAATTACCTCACATAAAAGAAACATGGTGAGGATAGAGATTTATGAATTAGAGGAATAAGAATTGAACTGTAAAATAAAATACAACGCAAGAGGTTGAAGATGTAGTTTAGAGGCACAATACTTGCCTACATGCGTGAACACCTGTTTTGATAGCATCACACGTGAGCGCGTGCACGTGCACGTGCACACACACACACACACACACATGATGGAAGAATTATGCAATATATTATCAAGTACAGAAATAATTACTATACTGAGACAGGCACAAAACATGGAAAAATTATATGCTAAGTAAATATATGAAAAATTGCCCTGGCATAGGTATAAGGGTGACAATAACTGCTATACTGAAGACAATATTTTGGGGCTTAGTGACATAAGCACCTGACTGGCAAGCATGAGGTCATGAGTTGGATCACCATTAGCAAAACCAAACCAAAACAAAACAAAACAAAAAAAACAGTATTTCCTTTTATTATAGTTTCTAAAAAGGCCAAGATTTTTCATGATTTCAGAAAACTTCTTTTCTAAAATAAAAGAGAAATGATGATTATCATAAATATCCTAAAATCCTTGGTACGTATTATCCATGCAGAAAAATTGATTCGATATGTTCATGATATGTGTACCAATTTCACAAAACAGAACGGCTTTACATGTTGTACAAGAAGACTTTGTTTTCTCTTGAATAACAGATGCCCTGTATGCTTTACTGAAATCTTTTAGTAATTTTTCATCTGTGATTCTTTAACATTAAACATTTATATAGAATTTCTATACCATATCATCCCACAAATTGTTCTAGCAAGTCCAGATTACAAGGAATTTCTACCGAAAAGAGAGCAAGAAAAATTTCACATAACATTTTCAAACTAAGTTTTCCTTCTAATAAGTTATAAATAATTATATTTTGACATAAAGTGGAATGCTATCAAAGTAATTATTTAAACGTACATTACTACTTGGCTGAATAATGATATCCTAAATGTACTCCTCTGTCTTTACCAGGCTTGAGGTATATTTGACAAATAAAATTGTATATGCTTAAGGTGTATGTATAGTTTTAAGTATATGTTGTGTAAATTCCCCACAATGAAGCTAAGTAACATATCCAACAGTTTACATAGTTACGATTGTGTGTGCAGCGAGAACATTTAATACATACTCAATAAATCTAAATGTGTTTCTTTTCATTTTCCATATATGGCTTTCAATTAAAGCATAGAATTTCACTTGTGCAACTAGCATTTATTTCTATTAACTGACAGAAGTGATATATTTTGATATAAAAAGGTAATTTACTAGCTTTTTATATTGATAATCAGTTCCCAGTGAACGTAAATAGCACCCACCTCATCTTCTATAGACATTACAGAAAAAGCAGACATTTTCTTGAAGAAATTTAACCTTTAGCATCTTTTAAAAAGTAATTTATTTGAGGCCCTCTAAGTCCCCAAGGGTTTGGAGCGCAGTCCAAATCTGTACCATATATGGGAATCTAAGTTACTTTCCCTAGGTCTGCACTATGAAGGACACATTGAATAACAGCCTCATTGACTAACAGATGTCCTCTATGCTTTACTGACAGATTTTAGTATTTTTTTCATTTGTGATTCTTTAACATTAAACATTTATATAGAACTTATATGGTATTAAACAATTATATAGTCTTCTCTAGGAGCGTTAGGGGGTGAAGTCTGCAGAGTATAAACTTGCAAGAGAATTCCCTTATATGTGTGGCCTCTAGGGGCTCTAGGCTCTCTCAGTAATGTATACTTGGCTTCTATCCATTCACCAACTACTCTCACATAACTCTCTTTATGGATAACTGGTTGTATCTGCTACCTGTAGACCATAGCTATCATCATATTTTTTCCTGTAAGAACTTGTTCTTCCTTGGATTTGGGTCACTCTGTTGCCCTGCTATCCTAGCTTTCTGGACAGTAAAAGAAAAGTCGAGGATTTGTTGTTTATCTGGCTTTTGCAATTACTGCAAGGGTAGGAGCAAAATTATTCTTGTTCTCTATTGCCTGAGGAGAGACAAGTGATATCTATTTTTGTTTAACACATCATAACTTTGAAACTGCTTGAAAGTATCTGTCAAACACTGCTAGTCATGGGCAGTTCTTCCTTAAACACCTTTCTCAGTGAGAACAGAATGGCAGTGAGTTTCCTGGATAAAATTGGGAAGAGATAACAGGACTTTAAAATTCTGTCTCTCTTATTTCATGGTTGTATGTTGTTTGCAATCCAAGGCGGCTGTCAAGACCATACTACAGTTTACAGTAGCCTCAGGGTATATCAAAATTTTTTCTCTGTGTTTATGACAGTTCTTTTGATATAGAATGTTCTTCTTATAGACTCCTTGTAAGGTTTTGCTACCCAACATCTAATAGAAGCTTGTTGAAAATACAGAATTCTGATATTTATGAAATATAAGACAGCTTATCAAAATCTCCAGAAATGCTGGTCTATGTTTATTCAAAGAAAGCCAATGGTCATAGATATTAATAATTTTTCAGAGACCAGAGTATTCATGTGAATTTGATGCATTTTTTTCAGTACAGTACTGGGAATTGAACTGCTTTCTTATGGAGCTCCTTTCCTAGTCCTTTTTAAATTTATTTTTTGAGATAGGATCACACCAAATCACAAAATTGCCCAGGTTAGGCAAAAACTTTTAATCTTTTTGACTCAGCCTCAAAGAGTGGACTACCATGTGTAAACTAGCACATTTTTTAAAAAACAAAACTAAATTGGGAGATATTTCTTACCCATTTTTAAATTTTATAACATCAAATATACAGATACGTTAAAATAATAAAATGCTGCTCCTAAATAGTTTTATGGGTTAGAGACATGACAGTTGAACATAAACTTAATCATTTAAAGCACTGAAAGAATACAAACATTCACTTATTTATTTGCGATATCATAGTTGCTAAATAAATTCTAAGTGACTATAACAGTATATTTTATAGCAGTTCTACTAAAAATAATTCACATTAAACAAACTTCACATAGTTTAAATGTTCAATTCATTGTTGTTTAGTATATTTACAGTTATATAATCAACACTATAGTATATTTGTATATTTTAATTGTACATATTTATGGGTTATATTGTGATATGGTAACACACGAATACAATATGTGATAAATTAGATATAGATATCAGAGCAATATTTATCATTTCTGTGCACTGACAACATTACAAATATTTTATCTATTTTGAAATATACAATGATTTATTCTTGGCTATATTCACTGTATGCTAACAACACACAAAGAAATATAACACTCATTCTCTGAACAATTTCCTTTTCTCTTTTTTCCATACCCTTGTTGGACTCTACTTTGTGCTACTATGGGCTTGTCTATTCTGGACATGTAATAAAAATGTAATCATAAAGTTGGGAATGGTGACACATTCCTATAAACTCAAGTACTTTAGAGGTGAAAGGAGAAGGGTCACCAATTTGAGGCCAGCATATTCAATACAGAGACCACTTTGCAACAAAAGTGTCAATAAAACGTGTGATAGTTTGCTTTGTGGTATCTTTTACATTTCGCATGTTTTCAAGAATATTCAAGGCTGTATCATCTATCAGCAAGACATTCCTTTTTACAAGTAAGTAATATTCAAATTATATAATTATATAATCTCTTTTGGACTCACTGTCTTGAACTAAATATACATATATATATATATTCAAGTATGCACATATGTTCACATATACATATATGTACATATATACACATATATATATATGTATTTATGTAACAGAATTATGCCTAATAGTCAAAAAATAGAAACAACTTCTGTCCATATAGTGATAAAAAGATGGACAAAATGTAGTTTCATATATACTTCAAAAACACCCAGTGTCACACTTATTGAATCTCATTTAAAGTCTGCAAAATAGGAAATGTTCTCTAAATATTTGTTCGAGTTTAGCCTAAATTATGTTAAAATTTTAATAAGCAGACAAAATTATGCTAATTATCACTTACATTAAGTAAAAAAATAAAATATCAGTAAGGTATCAGCAGGATACAAGTTGACTATCATAAAAATACAGTTAGCAAATTTTATTCATATTTAAAATCATTTTACTTTAACAAATTAATATACATATATATTAAATGTCATTAATTATTAAATTCCTAGAAAAATAGAGTTAGCTTTAAGAATACAAGGAATTCCATTTTGTATGCTTCACTTTTGTATCTTAAACAACTATTTGTAAGAGGACAATATGTAATCATCAACTAGTGATTTCATACTGTTTATTTTTTCTTTGAAAGTACCTATTATTTCTGACCGTTTTCTGTTTTGTTGAATCTTCCTTTAAATAAACTTAAAAATAGAATACAAGTAAAACAATCTGCAAAATGATACCACAGTAAATTCTATTGTTAATTATCATATGATGAATGTACACTTTGTATATGAAAAATCAGATATAAAATAAGATACACATCAATAAAAAGTTAGAAAATGATTTTACTGCAATAAGTTTCACCAAATATCTTTTGACTGATAAAAGTAAGTTAAAATAGTACATATAGCAAATATTTTCTTTTGAAAATAAAATAGAACAAATTTCAAACTTTTCAACATATGTTCTTTGGTAACATAAAAAAAAAGATTTTGAGTCAATCAAAGCAATCCATACGTAGGCAAAGGACCTGGCTGATCTCAGATTTCACATATTTTTAAAAGATACAAGATAATGGAGCACTGTCCAATGTTCAGAGAAAAATAAAAATAATAATCAAACTTTATAATTGGCTGAGATATCATTTACCTATAAATAAAACTAAAATACTTTAAGAGACTAGAGACCCTTAATGTGATAGTTTCAAAAACAAAATAATTTTGAAATTCAGTCATTTAATAGTTGAATACAAAGTAAAACTTTCAAGTACCATACATGATTAAATATTGACAATAGAATATAAATGTAAGTGGGGAATTATAAGTATAATAAACAGGAGAAATGATGACCCTTATGGGGTCTACTAAAACCTGTGAGCAAGGCCACATTTTTTTCCAACACACTGTTTTTCCTCTATTATATTTCCCAGAATATAATAGACATTATATTCTGTCTATATAATTTCCAATTATCTGTGTTAGAGGAAGTCAGTCTACTCGCTGGTTTTCTTTTATACAATAGTGTTGATTTTTCTACATTCCACATCTCTTTAGTTTTTAGGTTTATCACCCATATTTCCACCTCAAGAAATATACTGTACTTCAAGTGTTTGCATCTTTAGCAACTGTTATTTCTTATATGTAGATGTTCCCCAAGGTCTCATGTGATTATAGGGGAGGTTATAGGAAGATGATCGTATTATGAAGTGTAAAACTAATCAGCGTATTAGTACTTAGTCCTCTAATGAGTTTATACATAAATGTGATGCTTGGGAAATGAAACTTTGTCTAAGTTTGGTCACTGTAGATGTGGGCTGGATCTCGCTCACTCCTTCTGCCTTAATCTCTCTCAGCTTAACCACCATGTCTTAAAGCAAGTCTCCTTTGTTGTGCTCCTCTGCCATGCTGCCTTGCTTAGGAATTAGATAACTATAGATTGAAACTTGTACAAACTGTGAGCCAAACTATACCGCCTGTTCCTTTAAGTTTCAGATGCTGGATATTGTGTTCCAAAGATGAGAAATTAACTATAATAGTGCTCATATTCTTTCTCTGCCTTACTTTCCTCAATCTCTTAATTATCTCTAACATTTATTTTGGTGATTTACCAAACATATATCTCTGAATGACAATTGATCTGTTTCACATGTACCATCAAGTCCCTGGCTGAATTACAAATGACAGAGACTATATCATAAACTGTCTCTCTACAATTGATAAATAAAGTATTATTTTTAAAAACTGAACAGTATTTTTATTATAATTGTGTTTCTCAACACATTTTATCTCTTTAATGCTTTTTGACATTTTCTCTCTTGATTTGCCTTCTGTGAAACTACTCTTCTACTCCCTTTCTATTTCTACTACTGTCTTTAGTTTTGTTTCTTCATGAAATTATCCTTTCCAACTACCTAAATGTCATTCTTTTTATTGAGCCTATAATTTTTTCTTGGCCTTTGTTAAATATCTCCTAACCCCATCTCAGAAACTTCAATCTCTTAGCGTAAGGAGTAGGGAAATTTCTAAATATTGTTGTGTGGCTCTGTTTCTCATGGGCATCTCCAATTCTACATAGTCAAAATAGACCTCATGATCTTCATCCCAATCATTTTTTCAGTCAATGAAGTGGCTCAGACCATATATTTCAACTAACTATTTGAATGTCTTTCATACTCTGCATCCAGGAAATGGAAAAGGCCTACAGACCTGGCCTTATAAATTTGTCTACATTGGATTTCTCTTTTTTTTTCCTTCTATGACTAGAACCTACACGAACCCCCACACTAATATTGTATATGCTCATGCATTCACTTGTTGTTTAACTTGTCACAGCAAATGTCTTTCATTTTTTTTCTAAGTGGAGCGAGAATTGTTCTGCTAACTCTAATTCTTTCCTTTTTTAGTGAGTTAGAAGGAAATTATTCTATGATCTGCATCACATAGTCTACATCACCTTTCAAGTTTTCTATACTTTCCGTATTTGTGAACTGAGTAAACAAGTTTGTATTCTAGGCTGCCACATAAACAAGATTCAAACATATTCAGCTCTGACTCTATATTTGTGCTGATTTTTGTACCTCTGAAGAATCTCACTAATCTCATATATTTCCACCTCAACAAAGATCTTCTCTAATCTTACTGTCTTTTCTTAATCCTTAAAATTCAATTTATTTTTGTGCCATGTATTTTCCAAGGAAATGTTTCATGTAGCTTGTATTTTTTTTCAGATAGGACAGGGCACAGAAATAGTTATTTTTTTTTTTTTTACATGCTTGCGAGTTCATACAGTTTCTCAAATATGGAAAGTTTAACATATTGAAGTGGAAAATGTTAAAAAGCATTAAGACAATGAAAGATAAATAACGTGCCCTTCAGAAGGGGCTTCTCCTCACAGATCTCCTCCTTAGCCATGCAAAGTGTATTCAGATATGGTGCCAAACCTGGAAAGTGCCTCTTCTTTTTACCTAAGCTGCGCAACCTTCCATATTTGCACCAAAAATTATGACTTAATAATGTAATACATATTCAACTACATAAAAATAACATTAAAAAGCATAAAATCAGCATATATCCCATTACTCGTTTATTTATTCATTTAAGAAATATTTACCTAATCTCTGGCATTCTTTTACAGAAGCACAAAATTGAAACAGTGGGTATCTATTATTTTCTAGCTAGAGTTCTAGGCTCTGGGAATACAATGACAGAATAGGTAAGTATGTACCAACACAGAAAAGCACATTCTACTGGAAGAAAGAGGATAAACAAGTGGTAGGTTTGGAAGGTGCTATTGAAAAATACAACACCAAAGGGAAAGCTTGAATTCTATGCTGCTTTAGAGATGATATTAAAAAACATGTTTGATGTGGGGACTTTTGAACAGTAACTTGAATAAAATAAGCAAACCATGAAGACACAGGGAAACATAATATTTGAAGTAAGATGAAGAGAAAATATAAAGGTTTTGTAAAGGTGTAAGACTCAATGTGACAAAAATATAAGAAAGTGGCCTGGGCATTGTGGGTCACTACTTTAATCCAAATACTCTGAGAGGTGGAAGAATTAGGATCTCAAGTTCAAATCAAGACTAGGAAACTGTAGCACTCTGTCTCAAATATTAAAAAAAACGGGGATGTAGCTTAGTGGGAAGTATTTGAGCTCAAACCTGAGAAACAAAACAAAACAAAACAAAAAACCCCCAGGAAAACAAAAAATGCTTATACTACTTTATTCACAAATGCATCAAACTCTTTGAAATTAAATTACACAGAGTGTTCTTGTAGTAAAAAGGAAAGCATAATAATGTTTTAACTAATTGACTTATTTTAGTAAATGTACATATTTGATTACACTACAATGAAAATGCTATTCCATAGTAATCAAAATAATTTTCAGTTTTTAGGTATAGACAAACTTATTACTATTTTTTTTTGCTTCTCCTCCTCTTCTTTTTTCTTTATTAGAGTCAAACCCATGGCCTTTTATATGCTGAAAATTGCTGAACCACTGAACTACACAACTAGTCTCTGTTTGTACTTTCTTCTTTGTATTTTAAAAAGAAAATAAAACCTTTTATAAGACATGAGTCCTGGCAGTTTCTTCATATCTACTATAAGGAAAAAATTACTTCTTTTAAATAGCAATATATCATATATGTATATATGTATATATATATGTATATATATATATGTATATGCACATATGTATTTCAATCTTGATGTTATCATGTGTTCTCAAATAATTTTAAGTTAAAAGCAATTAAAATTCATTCTCATATGAAATCTAATTCTTAATGTTTCCCTCAGTTCTAAATTTTTGGTTAAGCTACGAGCACTGATTATCAAAACTAAATCACTATAGGTTAAAATAAAACCTACTCTAAAAATAAAATGCTTGTAGGTACTTGGAAACAGAGAGCTCAACTGAAGCAAGAATGACAATGTATGTTATTGTCACTATAATCAGTGTTTTATGACTGAGAAAAAAGCATGACTATAGCTTTTAGCATCTAGAAATTCTCAAAATGATATTGACTCCTGGAGTGGAAATTTATAAAGCATCGCCCTGCATGGAAAAAATCAAGAAACACTCACCTGAATATTTGCATTGATCTCTCTGTGAACACATACACATCTTGTGGTATGGACCTAACTAGATATACCCACCAAAAGAATTAATGAAGCATTATTGAACATACTGATATCCAACGTGACCCTGATATGATATGTAAGATGACTTATCACCAAATTTCATTTTATTGCAACTATTTACAAATGAGAGTCAATCAGTGTCAAATAAATCCAACACTTTATGAAGATGAAAATCCAAGCAAAAATATTAGGGCCAAATTTCATTTCTAGAACATTTCTCTATGAATTCCTTCATTTTTTCTTCAAGATTAGAGAATAGTCTCTTAATATTTTATCTTGCATGCATTAAAAAGATATCTTTTTGGCAGAAGAGTGAATAAAGTATGGATCTAGGTCTAAAGTTCATGGTTTCTAAATATGGTTTCATGATCGCTTTTACATTGTCATATTACAATTTGCAAAAATAAATTTAAACAATAAAATAACTTCTCACCATTCTGACAATTTCCCCATATTTTCTGTCGAGTATTTTCATAATTTGTATTCAACCAACTAAGAAGAATTCTTTCAGAATCTGAATATATGTTGCTCGATGCAAAACAAGGGCTGATCTTTTCGTTATTTTGCACATTTATTGGAGGGACAGCACTGGAGAGCTGTGGTGCAACCCGCGATAAAATCAGAACCTGAAATTGGGAAACAGTCAACTTATACTAGATTCAAGTGGAAAAAATAGCACATTAATATTTGAAGGATGTAAAAAATATAACAAAAAGTAAAGAAAAGCAATAGTGTTTTTGATTGTTTGTTAATGAGACCCGAACTCATGACCTCTTGTTTGCCAGGCAGGTGCTGATGCCACAGAGCTAAATCCCCAGCCCAATAGTATTTTCTGATTAAGTCACTTCTGAGTGTATTCACTCAGAAGTGAAAGAATATACAAGATTTGTCCAACCAATATTAATTTTGAATAAAGAAATCTTTGCATTGTAGCATTTAGCCCATAGAGCACCATGCCGTGCAACTGGACTAGAACGCTAACTCATTTGAAACAAGTGGATTTGAAATGCTTTATTTCTTTACCAACTCATGAAACTTAAACTATAAAAAGTTTGAGAATCAAAGTGGCATTAATTAGTCAAAACTTATTGTGAAATTGATGCCAAAGAGTTGTATTGTTAAGATAAAAAAGTATACACAATTTTACATATTTTCCTCCTGTGCTATACAGTTTAGCATACTACAATCATATCATCATGAAACACTATATGTATCGACACATGTGCTATCACAAAACAATATATATATATATATATATATATATATATATATTTAAAAGTAAGTAATATTAAGTATTCTGTGTCTGATCAGGAGAATATTATAGCAAAGTGTTGATTAAAGTTATACATTATTAGCCACTTGGTATGGGTTCTAGATGAGATGAACAGCTTGTATTCTACTACTACTACTACTACTACTACTCTCTCATTTTATATATACTTTAAATATAAAACTACTATATATATATATATATATATATATATATATATATATACACACACACACACACACACACACACACACATTTACTTTTCCCCTTTCATAACATTCTGTAAGAAGTAATTAGGAATCAAAAGGCTGGTTTATATTATAGTACACAGTACAGGTCATCTCAAGCCATTAATAGCCAGTATTCCAAAGGCATGTGAATGAAGACCACAATTCGACTGATACTATAGAAATCTTATTGTTGTCCTGCTCATATCTACCCAGTGTTCACTTCCACATTTTGAAGGCTGCTTGATGTGAACAAGTATAAATTCTTATTGGATGGATACCTTTTTATCTGGCATATCAGAATACAGGTAGCCCACCAGAAATAGCCCCCTTTCAATGATATTTATGCAATTTTTAGCTAAATGATCTGTTTTCCACACCATTCAATTGTGATACACATCAGATATGGTCTGCAATGTCATTCATAAAAATATGGTAGGATTGAGCCTCTGCTGCCAAACAGAAAAGCTACTTGAAAGCACCTCTGTTATTAGTCTCATGATATATTATTTCAATTTGTACTCTGCTACTCTTGTTTCTTGGGGTCATCTCTTAAACAAAGTTACTTATGCTTGACTCAGATTCTGCTTCTAGAAGGATCCAATCTAACATTAGTATATCCATATTCAAGTATGTTTATTGTAAAATTGGGAAAATGCTTATTTATTTAGTAGGTGTCTACCCTATGTAGCATCTCAAATATATGCAATTTAAAAATTATTAAGATACTTATGAAGTTCTCAAAACTGTAATTTTTTTCCGACTATGAGAATGGTTTTAATTTTTTATTGAAAAATCCATTACTTGATGCTGAATATTTATCTGGCATATGCCTACTGAGTATAGCCATCAACAAATGTAAATTGCATTATTTTGACATTTCGATAGAATTACAATATTATTGCTTCCATTCTTTCTAAATTATCACAGTTATATGATCTAAAACTGCTAAATTTAAAATGCCATATACTATAAAAATGCAACTGAAGGCGTTTGAAAAGGACTCTGCTCCTTTTTCTGGGGAATACTGTAGGATGAATTATGTGAATAAGTGTTTGGGGCTAATAATCAGAGTTGGCTCAGGATTACTCTGTCATCTATAACTTCTACTCTGTAAATATCACTAGACCTCCAAATAACTAAGAACCCAGATTTAATTACTGACCCACAAGGAACATGGATGTAACCTCTAATACAAAAAGAGGCACTATCCTGTGTGCTTTATTCTACAGAAGTACTTTAAAAACTGTCAGTGATAAAAGGAATTGTTAATTTTCATTTTTTATTTTATTTTAAAAAGAGAAAAGTCAGAAAATAAAAATAAAAAGCAAAAAACATAACAGCAAACTCAAAACAATAATAATATAGGTTTTAAAACAACATGAAAGAAATTTAACAATTGCTGTTATATTATGTTGTTCTCTTTTTGTTTCAAAGAAAGAAAATAGAAAAACAGAAAGGAAGGGTAGAACAATACCAAATTCAAAAAAATGATCACCATAAAATCACCAGTTGATACATTACTCATTGCCATCTTAAAAAATAGTTGTCAAAGTCACAAAATCAAAGCATTAATAGTGGCCAGACACTCAAACATTGACAGTGCAAATCCTTCTGTTCAATGTTTCAACAGAGATTCAGTAATATGGTCATCTATCTTAAACACTATACATACTTGTACACTTTTTAGAGTACTTCCTTTCCTTTCACTGTCACCATATCTATTATACCTTTTGGATCCCATTATTCTGCCAGTTTTTATTATTTTTTTACACTAGAGAGAAAGTGTGATATTTACTCATGTGAGTCTTGTTTATTTCACTAATGAGAATATTTTCAAGTTGCCTCCATTTAGGCATAAAGGTCTCAAGATCATCCCTTTTTTTTAAGCTGAGAAGTATTCCATTGTATAAAAATATCAGTTTTTTCATCCACTCTGCAGTCGATGGGCACTTTGGTTGTTTCCACGATTTAGTTATCACAAATTGTGCTGCTATGAACATATGTGCACATATATGTCTGTGACATGATCTTTTCAAAATTTCTTGAAAAAGACTTAGTAGGGGAATAGCTGAATTGAATGGAACTTCCAATCCTAGTGTTTTGAGGAATCTCCATTCTGATTTCCACAGTGGCTGTACCAGTCTTCACTCCCACCTACAGTGGAGATATGTTCCTTTTCCCCACATCCTCACTAAAATTTGTTATCAGTTGTTTTCTCGATGGCAGCCATTCTTTCCGGGTGGAGATGAAATCTCAATGCTATTTTAATTTTCATTTCTTGAATGACCAGTGATGGTGAACAATTTCTTCATATATTTATTTGCCAATTGCCTATCTTCACATAAGAACTGTGTGTTCATCTCAGATGCCTATTTTTGGAGAGTGTCTTTGAATTTGGGGAACTTGATACTTTCCAATTCTTTATATGTTCTGGATATATGTCTTTTGTATGAAGAGTTCTTGGCTAAAATACTTTCCCATTCTGTGGGTTTTCATCTCACTCGGTTGATGACTTATTTTGAAGTGCAAAAACATTTTAATAATATGAGGTCCAAGTTGTTGAATCTTTGAAATCTTTCCCACGCAGTTTGCATTTTGTTCATGAATTTTGTCTACCCTTATGTCTCCAAGACTTCTATCTTGTTTTCCAGTAGATTTAGTGTTTCTGTTTAGTGTTTATTTATATTTTTGATCCATTTTGACTTTAGTTTTGTGTATGGTGATATACATGGATCTAGTTTCAGTATTCAGCATGTGGAAAGCCAGTTTTTCCAACACTACTTATTAAAAAGGTTATCCTTCCAGTGAACATGTTTAGCACCATTGTCAAATATCAGGTGGCTGAGTGTCTTTGGAATTGTGTCTGCATCATCTAATCTGTTCCAATGATCCTCAGGTCTATTTGTTTGTTAGTACCATGATAATTTTATCACTGCTATTGTGAAAGGTTATATTTCCATAATTTCTCACTGAGTATTTTGTTTATGTAGAGGAATGCTTTTATTTTTTGAGTGTTGACTTTGTATCCAGCTGTGCTGCTGAATTTGCTTATTATCTTTAGTAGTCTTTTCATGGAGGTTTTAGAGTCTTCTATGTACAATATCATGTTTTCTGAAAATAATGATAATTCAACTTGTTTTTACTATTTTTATTCCTTTATTTTACCCTTTTGTCGGATTGCTCTGGCTAACATTTCTAGAACTATATTGAATAGGAGGGGTGACAGTGAACATCCTTGTCTTGTTCCTGATTTTAGAGTGAAGGCTTTCAGTTGTGTCCTTTTAGTATAATGTTGTCTGTTGGTTTGTCATAAATGGCCTTTAAGAGATTGAGGTATATACCATCTCTTCCAAGTTTCTGTAGGGTTTTGATCATGAATAGTTGTTGGACTTTATTAAAAGAGTTTTCTGCATCTATTGGGATGATCATGTGATTTTTATTTTTGGCTCTGTTGATGAGGTGTATTACATTTATTGATTTGTGTTTACTGAACCATCTCTGCATTCCTAGAATAAATACCACTTGGTCATGGTGTATAATCTTCCTGATGATTTGCTGTATTCTATTTGCCAGTATTTTATTGAGAATCTCTGCATCAATGTTCATTACTGAGATTGGTCTATAGTTCTCCTTTTTGCTTGGGTCTTTCTCTGTTTTTGATATCAGAGAGATACTTTTTTTATTTAAAGGAAAAAATAGTATAAGGGTACAAGTAATACAGAATTTCAAAAAAACAGTAAGAACTCACTAATTAATAGATTACATATTGTCATCTTAGAAATAGTTGTTCAAGTTACAGGATTAAAGCATACAAAGTGGACATTCAAACAGTAAGACTGCAAACAGTTGTGTTCAATGATCCAACAACAACTTAGTAATATGGTCATCTATCTTAATATACCTAACACACTTGCAGTTGTATCCTTTAGAGCACTTTTTTCCTCTCTTTTTTACAACAACATTTACACATTTTGGGTTTTATTTCTCCCATAGTTCTTATTACTTTTTTTGGAAGAGAATAAAACCAAATATGACAAAACAAAGCAGTCAAAACAAAGGACAGACATAGCACATGATGTAAAAACAAAATACAAGGTAATCAACAATGGTTACCATAATGCCTCTT